CCCCCTGTGGGTTCCACAATTCAAGTTTGCATAGTGCAGCCAGACAATCAGGGGATCAGATAAGCCTCTGCTTTTCTAAATCTTCCTTGCTTACTGTGGGCCAAACTACCCAAAATATGATTTTTAATGAGCCAAGTCCAGAAGCAGTTTAGAAGTGGGTCAAATAACTTTCTGCCATCATGAACTATTTCAGCTTGGGGGAAAGGCACAGGTGGAAAGGATGGAGCTCTCCGCCCCCTGTGTCGCAGTCCTGAGCTGAGTTGGGTGCGGGCAGACTTTTAAAAAGCCATTGCTCACAGCCAGTCTGTGCCTAAAAGGAAAGCAAGTCATGTCCAGGTTCCTTGTTAAAAACTGTATTGCGTAAGTAGGCCAGAAAAGGCCTGACTAGATTATGCATTTTTCCTCGGTACATCCCCCTGGTCAGGTCAACAGCCATTGTCTGGGAGTGGCGTGCTTCTCAGGCATGAGGGAATGCCCAATTCAGATCAGGACTGTGGCACTCAAGGAGAAGGAGCCTTCTCCCCTACTGAACCATGTTCCGGCCCAGAAGGAAACTTGGGTATGTTGAGGGACTAGACATTATGTTTTCCGAGTGGAGCAAATAGCAGATTGGGGTCCCCAAAATCGGGGGATCCCCTGACCCAACCAGGGGGATGGCAACCCTAATGTATCCGGTAAAAATATATTGTGTAGCTAAGCCCCTAGGTTGTGGATTGGCACTGAGCCTACAATCCTAAAAATAGTTTCCCACCAGTAAGCCTCATTGAATACAATGGAACTTACTTCTGCGCAGATCCACTTAGGATAGGTCTCTGGATCCTTTTCTCCAACCTTCCCAACACACAGCTAGCGCTGTCTAAAAGCAGTACTTTGTTGTCAAATCTTTATTTGGGATTCTAACTGAATAACATGTGAGCAAAAAGACCAGTAACACTAAAAATAATAAAATGATAACAATACTGACCTTTACAATATTTTGAAGGGATCCTAAATGACCTTGCTCTCTTCTCAGGCTGGTTTTGGCAGAACAGCCCACAACTTGGCTGATGTTAATGTTAAAAAATACTGACTCTCCAAATTTTGGAGAGCAGCCATGGTGCCTAGCAAAAGGCCTATGTTTTACTAGTTCTGCCTCTCTTGTCTTCTTTGTCTCAAAGAAAGGATGCAACAACGAGCATTTTTTACCACAACAGCATGATCTTCAGTCCATGCTAAAATAATGATGCAGGTGGTATTTACCTGAAACCAATCTCATATTTGCCTTTGTTTTTCAAGGACAGCATCTGCTTGGCTTCATCCATGACTCTCACAAACCCAAACTCCAGGCTACCATCTGTACCTGCAGGGACCAGGAACAGAGCAAGGTGAGTCAGCAGTGCTCTGGATTTCATTTCCACCCTTCCTCAGCAGTGTTAGGCCCATCTGTATAAGCAACTCATTCATTGGTTTGGGGCAGTGACACTTGTAGGTGTGCTAAGGAAACAACCAAGCATAACCCAATAGGTGGGCCTTAGTATTCTCTATGATGCTGTAAGGGATTGTGGAGCATATTTCAAGGAATGTAGGTCTTTGGAGCAGGGCTTGCCCAGTAGTTCTTCCTTATTTGTGACACGGCCTTTGCTTTTAGATCACATTCATATTCCCCTTTTAAGGAAACTTCCATTTTAAGGACATTTTGAAAGCAAAAAGAAGCACATTCACTGGGGAAAAGCAGGTAGGGAAATTTTTTAGAGAATGACAGGAGAGATGGAGGAAAGATCTAGTGAGCCACTACAAAAATGATACAGAGGATCTGCTCCCAATCCTGGATGCCCGAAGGTTCATATGCACCTAGAGCTGCCAAGCCCCTAATCAGGGCAGGGGGATCTCCTGTCTCTCATTCCCTTTGCCTTGCCATTGTTCTGTTTTTAAAAACTGTGATGCTGGCTGCTGTGTCATGACACATCTGTTAAAAAACAGATGTGACATAGGGTACCTCTAGGTATCTCCAGAAACTCCATGGTTTTAGAGGGTTTTTTGTTGTTGTTGTTCAGTCGCACGGTCAAGTCCGACTCTTTGTGAACCCATGGACCACATCACGCCAGGCCCTCCTGTCTTCTGTCATCCTCCAGAGTTTGCTTAATTTCATGTTTGGGTTTTAGAGTTACCTATGTCATTTCCTGTTTTTTACTGGAAGTAATGCCACAGCCAGTGTTGCAGCCCCCTCCCCCCTCCCTACTGACAGCCCTCCCACCAGTTTGCCAGGCTCTGCCTGGTAACAATATATGCAACCTCTTTACACTTTCACACATATCCTCGCTCACATTCATGCATTAAAGGATTCTAGTCAGCACACACCTTTATCTCACATCCTCAGCCAAAGGATGGGGACAAATGTAGTCTACAGGGACACCCCCCAACTGTGTTAAGCCTGTAGTCACCTTCTAGAACAGAGGTGTCAAACTCATTTGTTATGAAGGCCAGATCATAACACTTTGTCGAAGATCTGCGCTGGCGCGGCGCGGCGACGGGCGGGGTGCGGCTCGATCCATGCCGCCCGAACCTTCTTCGGAGATGCACCAAGAGTTTGGACATCTGTTCCCACAAGGTGTACTGGTATCTACTCATACAGGCGAGATAGTTTGACGCCTTCACGGCCAACGCTCCTGTTGAATAGAAGCGGCGGCCAAAGGCATCCAACTTCTTGCCTTCCCTATCGGAAGGAGCGGAATGTGACTTTTCCGACTTCGACGACGAGGTGACGACTAAGGAGTTTGGTTGTGGATGGGAGAGGAGGAACTCTGCCGCAGTTCGCTGAATGCGGTACATATGGTCTAAGTTTTTTGTAGAGACGGGGGCGGACGACGGTTTGTGCCAAGGTGTTTTTGCGGCTTGTAGCGAGACTGACGACATTGGAAGCTCGACGACTGAGGACGTGTCCAGTTGGACGATATCATAGAGAGAATCCGTAGATTGAGGATCCGTGTGAACAATTGACAATCCCAATGCGTGGGCCATACGTTTTATGAGGTCGGTGTATGACGACAAGTTATCCGACGGGGATATTGGGAGGTTTTGAAACACGTCGATATTGGGAGACGAATTATCTGGCGAGGTTGGGGCTTCAGAAGGCTCGGTATCGGAACCAGATTCCGAAGGCTCTGAAGACTCGGGTTCCCCAGCCGGGGCAGGTTGACGAGGAGATGGAGCAGGCGGCTGGATTGGTGCAGCTGGTGTATGCTCCAAATGTTTCCGAGGAGGAGGTTGGGCGGAAGATGTTCCCGACAGCGGAACATTGTCCGGTTGAGGAGGACGAGAGACCGTAGCAGATGGTCTAGATTGCCTCGGAGAACGAGATCTGTGGGAAGATCTACAGGAGTATCTGTCCCAGTCAGTGTATCCCGTATGGCCGAGCCAAGGCATAGGAGGATGGTAAGGACCGTACAGGTAACGGAACTGCCTTTCATCCCAAGACATTAGAGGCGGCATATACAACCTCGGGGAGCAGCTCCTCGACCTTGGACGACGTAGGGAAAAATTTGACGGAAGAGCATATGTGCCTCTTCTACAGTCAAAGGCGTCGATATCGACAGACTCAGGCGACAAACGGGGAGGCCGACGCTCCGCACTGGATCTTGAGCATCGATGCCGACGGCCATCGGTGTCGGGTGGCTCTGAGACGATCGAAGCCGACGAGCTCGTTGGACCAGGGGAAAACTTCGCACCCACCTGGTGACTTACGAGTTCCATTTGGTCGATATCGTACAAGGCTGTCTCCACCTGCCGGTCTGGAGAGTC